AAAACGGAGATTTCTTGTTCTCTGAGATGTTAAGCTCTAGCCAATCAATTCTGTCCTCTTTAGCCTAGTACATCTGAACTTAATTTCTTGTTATATATTTAAGCTTTTCCTCTACACTCTAGGTTTTGTGACCTCCCATGGTCAGGTGGAGAGGAAGCTGCCCCCTTGCAGAACTGTACTATCACCATTTTTCTTTTTAAAAATTATTATCACAGGACTGATTGTACACAGGGCTTGTAATAAAATGTTAACACTGTGCTGTGAAACCACAATGGTAAATCTCCATTGAAGGCTACTTCAAAAGGCACCTGAAAGTGGAGTGTTACATCTATGACTTTATTTCTTGCTTCCTGAGTATATTAAACCTAATTTTCACCCTTTCATTCTGTTTCAGCCTCCTGTATAAGAAGTACCGTATTTTCTGCCCATCATACTTTGTAATAAAACTTGAACATGTATAGATTGACTGAATTTCTTCTTGTGATGAATTCAGTTCTCCCCATTCTGCCACTGTGCTTTTGTTCCGGAGACACTGGCTGGGGAATTAGAGTCTGCCCTAGCCCATCACACTATACTGATAGCCTGAGTCACCTCTATCAGTTAAACACAGAGCACCTACTTTATGCCAGGGGCCATGACCCTCAACTTGCTTGCAGTCTCCCACGTAAACAATTCCTGGCCATGTTGTACAATACGGGTGTGTTTAATCTTACTGGTTGCCCTGAGGAGGTGGTGATCCCCTATGCCTGGGTAGGAGCCAGGGGAGGTCAGAGAAAACTTCACAAGACAAGGGATGTTTGAACTGAGTTTTGAAGGCTGATTAAGAGTTCTCTAGAAATAGGGAAAGATACCTAAAGTAGAGGGAACATCCATGTAGAACTCTGTAGAGGCAAGAAAGAATAGGACCACATTCAGAGAATTATAAGTTGATGTGGGGTTTTAATGGGGAAGGGTGGGAAATGTGGCCAGAGAGGTAAGCAGGAGCCAGAACAGGCAGAGTCTTTTGTGGGTTGCAGAAAGTTTAGATCTTACTCCTGTATGAGACTTTGGAAAACTTAGGTAGAGGGAACTCATGCTCAGAATTGCACTTTAGGAGGCAGTGAAGAAAATGCCCGAGTAGTGGGTGAAACAGTGAGTCAGTTCACCTATTATAATAGGACGAGGAAAACTAAAAGCCTGAACTAAAGCAGGAGCAGTGGGGGATGGGAGGACAGGGCATAACTGAAGAGATTTAAGAGATGGGGTAATCAGGATTCAGTAAACTACTGGTTTGAAAGATGGCAAGTGATAACTCCCACACCCTGTGGGTTTGGACACCAGGTTCTGAAGGCTGGCTAGGCTTCCAAGTCCAAGCCAATTTACTCAGCCTACGCCCCAACATGGTAAGACGGAGGAGTACCAATCCCCACTGCTATTCAGAAGCTCTAAGTCCTGGTTGGATACTCCCTCCTTTTATTTATTTATTTTTTTCATTCTGCGCTCATGTTTAATCATTTCAAGGGAAGAGAAGAGGGGCAAATTGTGATTGATTCGATGAGCCGGTATTTGGCAAGTAACTACCTTTGTTTTTTTTTTTTTTTTTTAAAGATAGATAGATTTATTTATTTATTTATTTACTTACTTACTTACTTATGATAGCCATAGAGAGAGAGAGATAGAGGCAGAGACACAGGAGGAGGGAGAAGCAGGCTCCATGCTGGGATTCGATATGGGACTCAATCCCGGGACCCCAGGATCGTGTCCTGGGCCAAAGGCAGGCACCAAACCGTTGAACCACCCAGGGATCCCCTAGGAACCACCTTTGTGTCAGAAGCATTGAGCTGGGGGCATCAGCAGTGGGTCTGGGAAAAGAAGTATGTACTCTAAGAGTTTATGGGGCACCTGGCTGGCTCAGTGAGTAGAGCACATGACCCTTAATCTCCGGTCTATGAGTTCAAGCCCCATGATCAGCCTACTTAAAAAACAAACAACCACTTCCAAGAGTTTAGACTATGTGGCAAAATGAGCACCTGCTGGCTCTGTTAGACCTGTGCTCTACGGTCTGACAATATGTATTTTATGAGAAATATGAGATTCCTGCTCTTTGGGTTTTTAGGGGATCACTGGGAGAGTCACACTGGCATTATGCAACCCTATAGCCTGTGCTAAGCTGCAATAACAAACCCCCAAATCTCAGAGACTGAACACAACAAATTTTTACTTTCTGCTTACATGAAATCCTTTGGAGGTTTGTTAGCTACATCATCCAGAACATGTGGCTTCCAAGGTTGCTTGGGGAGGGGAAAATATTTTAGGATAGTTCTGTCCATATCTGCCAAATTTAGTCACAGGATTTCAACCTAACTCCAAGGAAGGTCAGGAAAGATAATCTGCCTGTCTGCTTAAGAAGAAATAAAGTGGTGGATAACTAGTTATACCTCTGCCATACCATCAAATCAGCAACCAAGGCTTGATGTTAATGATTTCAATGGTCCTGAAAACCAGGCTTTAGAGATAAATGTGGATTTATCTTCAGACAGTATTAGCTCAGACTGAGAAAGTAAAATTCTGCCCTGCTGTTCATCACAGATGAACAGACACAGAACCAGCTGCAAAGATAACAGGAAACAATATTTCTCCCAAGCACACCTGCAGCTTAAAGTGTCATTACAATTTCCGTCTCTGAGTGACTTTTTTTTTTAAATTTTATTTTTATTTATTTATGATAGGCACACAGTGAGAGAGAGAGAGGCAGAGACACAGGCAGAGGGAGAAGCAGGCTCCATGCATCAGGAGCCTGACGTGGGATTCGATCCCGGGTCTCCAGGATCGCGCCCCGGGCCAAAGGCAGGCGCCAAACCGCTGCGCCACCCAGGGATCCCTCTGAGTGACTTTTTTTTTTAATTCACTGAGAAATTTTGTTCCCTAAAATCACAGACTGTCAGAAAGTTTGCTATTTGAAATTATATCAGTGAAAATGGTCTTGCTTGGAGAAGCAGCCTTAATTTCCAACCCAGAATTTTAGTGCAGTGGTTTCTGAATGCAACGTTCCCCAACTTAGCTTTGTAGTTTCCACGGAAACTGAACTCGGTCTGTTTTGCAGTTCAGAGCTGATGTTGATCCACTTTTCATATAGCTCTGTGTTCCTTTGAGCCTATCAAACTCTATTTCATTGACATTTCACCTAACCTCCACCTATCCCCATAATCCTATAATAATTATTTTTTCCTTTGGTGGGACACCCCAACCCCATCCCTCTGGTGTGCAGTTTTCCTTGCTGTACTGAGTCCATAGCCTGACTTTGTTGAACTACAGGTTTGCCCTGGTAGACTTAGGCTGATAGGACTAGGGCATTCTCAGACTTTACTTTGGCCTTTATGCTTCTTTGTGATTATAAATTCCCTTAATTTGCTTTTTGCTATTCAAAGTAACATATTAAAGTATATTTTAAATGACAAAAAAGTAATGCCACATATAAATAGCTAGTAAGCACACGAAAAGATCTTTGACATCATTAGTTATGAGGGAAATACAAATCAAAGCCACAATGAGATATCACTTTATACCCACTAGGGTGGCAACAGCTATAGTCAAAAAGAGATGATGAATGTTGGCAAGGATGTGGAGAAAAGTGGAAACCTCATGATGCTGGTGGGAACATAAAATAATGCAACTGTTTTTGGAAAACAATCTAGCAGTTCCTCAAAAGGTTAAACAGAGTTATTACACAACCCATCAAACAAAAACATGTCTATGTAAAAGACATGACAATGTTATAATAGTCAAAAGGTGGAAACAACCCAAATATCCAACTGATGAATGGATAAATAAAATGTGTGTTCATCAGTGGAATATTATTTGACAATAATAAAGGAATGAAGTACTGATACATGGTACATCAATGAACCCTGAGAACATCATGCTAAGTGAAAGAAGCCAGTCGCAAAGAACTATGTATCATGATTCTTCTATTCATGTGAAATATCCAGAATAGGCAAACCCATAGAGGAAGAAGTAAATTGGTGGCATCCTAGGACTGAGGGAATTGTGAAGAAATGGGGATGAGGGTACCTGGGTGGCTCAGTGGTTGAACATCGGCCTTCAGCTCAGGTCGTGATCCTGGGATCCCAGGATCAAGTCCCACATCAGGCTCCCGGCATGGAGCCTGCTTCTCCCTCTGCCTGTGTCTCTGTCTCTCTCGTGAAAAAAATAAATAAAATCTTAAAGAAAAAAAAAAAAACCTAAGGAATGACTGCTAATGGGTACAGGGTTTCTTTTTTGGGGTGGCTAAAATGTAAAATTGTGATGGCAACACAAATCTATGAACGCATATACTAAAAACCATTATACACTTTAAGTTGATGACCTGTATGACATGAATTATGTCAATAAAACTTATTTTTTAAAAAACAAGAACTGTGCTGGACACAGGGGTTCTGTCCTCCTCTCTAAGAATTCTCTAAGAATTTTAATATTGTGGCAGAGACATAAACATTTTTATATTAAAAAGTTAGGTACTAGGGTATAGGCGTGTATGAAGAAGGGTCATGTGAGCACAAAGTAGGGCATCTGAGCCCAACTGGAGAATTAGGGGATGTTTTCTTAGGTGGAAAATGACGTCCGAACTGAATTTTGAAGAAAAAGAAAAAACTTAGCAAGGTGAAGTGAAGTGGAACAAGGATCAGCAAAGACCCAGGTTTGTGCTGAATTCAGGAACTGGGGAAAGTTCTAGGCGCAATGTGATGTTTTTAAAATGGCAAGGTACAAAGAGGAGAACGCCGAGTCCATCACAAAGTAGCTTGGATAATAAGCAACAACAATAATAATAAATTCCTAAGTGAACTCTTCGTTACAGCTAAAAAAAATGTGAGTTGGACTCTCAAAGTCGCTCCCACCTTGACCCCAGCTCGGCACCAGGTGCGAGGAAGGAGCAGGTACCGTTAGGCGGAACGGAATTTGCGGTCGGCGGGGGCGCGTTTTTGGAACGGACCGGGGAAAAGGAAGTGTGCTACATTGTCCAGGGCACCCAACCCCGGCTTCCGGGGATGGGAGCGGGTGGTTCGCGTTCCGCCCCGGGCCGGCCTGAGCCCCGAGGTCTCTGGTGACGGGTGGACGCGGGTGGAGGCGGCTTCAGGCTCAGGACCTGCTTGCTCCCGCCACGGACGCCACGGGCTGACCTTGGCCGCCGCTCATTGGCTGCTCTTGCTGACCTTGGTCCAAGGTCGGGGTCGATGGCAGCTTGGGCCGCCTCGAGCCTGAGCAGGGTCGCTGCCGGGTGCCTGCGGGGGGCGCGAGGCCCCGGGGTCCGGGCGGCTCTTCCTCCCACCCTCGCGGCCTCCCAGCCTGAGCCCACGGGCCGCACCCCCGTTCCGGGCAGGACGCTGCACCTGACCGCGGCGGTCCCCGCCGGGCACAACAAGTGGTCCAAAGTCCGGCATATCAAGGGTCCCAAGGATGCCGAAAGGAGTCGCATCTTCTCCAAGCTCTGTTTGAGCATCCGCCTGGCAGTTAAAGGTAAGTCACCCGCTGCTGCCCTCTCTGCGCCCACAGCCAAATCAGTGACCACCGTGAGCCTTGGTCCTTCGTGAACACCGTTGCCCGCTTCATAAACGCTCAAAAGACCTGCCGACGTTGTAGGACTCCACTCGCCTTTCCAGATGCTGAGGCCTGCCTGCTTGGCGGGGAGTTGCTATTAGGATGATAATGGTAAAAGTGACTTCATTCTAGTGTGTAGCTGGGTACTTCATAGAAACAGACCCTAAGAGTAAGGTCACTTGGGTATCTTGCCTGAAGAGACCAATCGAACCCTCTAGCCCCCTCTGGTAGCACATAAGTTGTGGCAGGGGCATTGAGGAAAGCTGTTACTTGCCCAGCTTCAGTTTCCCAAGACACATTTTCTCAGAAGGTAAGTTTGCAACCATGTCTTTTCCCATTGTGTAGCCACTACAAGAAGGCTTTTTTTTTTTTTCTTTTCTTTCTTGGTTTTGTTTTTGTATTTAGTGTTCGATACCTGTAGGAGTGGAGAAAGAGTCCTGTAAAAATCATGGATTTTGGGCTTAAGAAGACTTGGTTCCTGTCACTTACTGACTGTAGGACCTTGAGCAAATTGCTTAACCTTGCTCAGTTTCAGTTTCCTTCTATAAAACAGGGATAGTACCCACCTTATGGAGGTTTCTGGCACATAATAGGCACTCAGTAAATACTAATCTACCCCTAGAACTCACGCCTGATATTTCTCTTTGCTTTCTTCTAATTCTTGATATTGAGTGAGATCAACACTGTTGAGTATTTGTTATGTGCACTGGTGACACAGAATAATGAGGAAAACCCCCACCCCGAGAGACAGCATGATTACATGCTGTCATATGAGCATTTCAGTAATTACACACAAAATAATAGAGTCAGAACAAGGGGTATTAATAAGTCCAGGAAGTTTTGGTACCATTTTCATCCCTTACCTCTTCATCTGCTGCAAAGTGGTCTCTGAAACCTAACAAAAAGATATTCATCCTTACAGAGTGAATTAGAAACTTCTTTTCCAAAATACTTCTCCATATTCCATTCAAACACTGATTAAATGTCCTAAATTAACTGAGAGACAAGTGGTGACTTTCTACCTTTTTTGCTGGGGGAGGGTAGAGAGGCAGAGAGCCCTTCTTTCTCCTGGCCGTAATGAGATGTCTTCACCCAGTGTTTTCTCTCTTTCTCAGAAGGAGGCCCCAACCCTGAGCTCAATAGCAGTCTGGCCAACATCTTAGAGGTGTGTCGCAGCAAGCACATGCCCAAGTCAACGATTGAAGCATCGCTTAAAATGAGGGTATGTCCTCAGTTTCACTTCTTGTTATTGATCACAGCCCCTCCAGGGCCCATGTCTGAAAGGCCACCAAACAGGCCTTAGATTATCAAAAAGAAGGGTAGCATTGTGGTTGACACTCTCAATGCAGAGCCTTCTGGTGTCTCTCTGACTTTGGACATTGGTTTTGGGAGCCCAATCAAGGATAGGATGAGTAGATAATGTACAGAACCAGATGGCCTAGTACTATTCAGCCAGAGTGTGAAGTGAGGGTAGGAAAAACAGGCACAGTGTGGGGAATATTAGATTGAAGAAGGGTTTGTTTTTCAGATATTTATGCCCTAAAGGAGAAGAGCCAGTAGAAAGGGAAGCAGAGCAACAGTGATGGTGAGAGGGGCAAGGATATAGAGACCAGTTATGGGAATTGTCTTTGAGCCCAGGTGAGAGGACATCTCTTCTTCTGGGACAAGTAGGAAGGATTTGAGGAAGTAAATTTTTTTTTTTTTTTTAGATTTAATTTATTTGACAGAGAGAGAGAATGGGAAGGGGGAGGGGAAGAAGAAGGGCCTGCCTGAGCAAGGAGCCAGACATGGGGCTTGATCCCAGGACCCTGAGATCATCACCCAAGCTGAAGGCAGATGCCCAACTGACCTAGCCGCCCAGGTCATCTGAGGAAGTAATAATCATCTTAATAGCTAATAATTATTCAGTGCTAACTCTAGGTCAAGCACTTTGATAAGAATTTTGTATACATTATCTCGCTGAATCCTCAAAACAACTTTAGGTGGAAACTGAGACACATAAAGATTAGGTGACCAAGTCAAGATAATGTCAAGAAAATTACAGATTTAAAACCAGATAGACCATAGAACCTAGTCTAACCATTATACACACTGCCTTCATGTAGGCTATGATGCAGTTAAGTGTAAGTAGAGGATTTTCACATACCTGGTGGTCCTTTATTTCCTTTGTGAAAGAAGAAGGAAGAAATTGTCATTTGAGGGTTCCTGGAAAGGCAGCAGGGCAGGGTGCTTGGAGAGAGTGGTGAAGGTCAGATCTGTGGGCAAGGGATAAGTGGAGGTGGCATGGGAGGTCCTATTAGATTAGTTGCTAATCTGTTGATCTATTGTTTGAATTTTGTGACCATGCTATTTTCAGTGGTTGTTATGATAGGCCCTGGGTGTGCTATTTCCTAAAGCAATACTTAGCACCCCAGGGGTAGGAGACTTCGCAAGTGGGTTTCATGCAGGATGAGTGTAGAAGGATGAGTCTTGGTGGAATTGTGGGGGCTGGTATGTATGTTAGATGTGAGATTCAGCTGGGACAGGAAGGAAATGAAACGAGGTGATGGCTAATTGATTGTTCAGGGACCAGAGAAACAGACTCCCTTCCCAGTAAGGGGTCATACTTGCAATTACCTCAAAAGTTGGTCCCAAAGGGCCACCTCTCAGAGGCAGGGGACAACAAGAAAGACTTGAGACCCGAAGCTGTACCCCAGAGTGCCCATCCTATGGAGTCAGTATCTGTGTTCTGGGCTGGGATGCAAGAAGGAATTGAGAAACAGGAAAATGTGCTCATGTTGTTTATTGCAGAAAGCCAAGGATGTTTATTTGCTGTATGAGGGCCGAGGCCCTGGTGGCTCTTCTCTGCTCATTGAGGCATTATCTAACAGTGGCTCCAAATGTTATTCAGACATCAGACATATCCTGAACAAGAATGGGTAGGTATAGGTCTGGGGAGAGTAGAAGGGTATGAAGCCTTGAAATTCCAAATCTTTGCAAGGAAAGAACTGTTGTTCCTGGTGGTGTTTCAAGTTTTAAGCATACTTCATCCTTAGAATCCAAAGAAATGATCATTTCTTCTCCCTTATTTCATTCTGTATGAGGCAGGATCCAAAAGACTTTTTCATCAAGTGTAGGAGGGGCCCTCTGTTCCATTTTCCCTATCTGTAGCAATATGATGTCCAGGTCTTAAAATGTACCACCAAGACTGGAATCTTAAATGATGACATCTTTGTATCTACTAAACTCCACTCAGGGCAGAAAGAAGGGGATAGGGGTATGTTTGGGTTTTTCTCTTGCCCAGGGGTAGCTGCATATTCTCCTTCAGAAGTATGTATAAACTCCAAAGGCTGGGTGAGAAATAGAGTATTAGAATGCAGTGCTATGTGGGGACTGAAGTGTCTCCAGGCATTCAATCTAGTATGTTTCCTTTCCTTTGAGGGGAATGATGGCTGATGGAGCTCGCCACTCTTTTGACAAAAAGGGGGTTATCGTGGTTGGAGTGGAGGACAGAGAGAAAAAAGCTGTGAACCTAGAGCGTGCCCTGGAGCTGGCAATTGAAGCAGGAGCTGAAGATGTCAAGGAAACTGAAGATGAAGAGGAAAATAACGTTTTTAAAGTGAGTATGAAGCCTTAGTGTTTGGTGAACTTTTGAGAGAGCCCTAATAGATGTGTTAAGGCTTGCTTCTCTGTTTCTTCTTTCTTGTGCCCTGGGGTACAAGTGACATAAAGAGTACACATATTGCACAAACATTTATTACACGAATACTGGATAGGGCTTACTTTATTGAGGACTATGAGAAGGATTCAGAAGTCTGAAAACTGTATCTCTGCTAGTAGAATTATTCATTATAGTCGTTCCATTCAGGTTTTGCAAAGTTCTGACTGGCTTTATCCTTTTTATCTCTTGGCTCCTCACCTCTTGACTTTCTTTTGTCCCTAGTTTATATGTGATGCCTCTTCACTGCATCAAGTGAGGAAGAAGTTGGACTCCCTGGGCTTGTGTTCTGTGTCCTGTTCACTAGAATTCATCCCCAACACAAAGGTGCAGCTGGCTGACGCTGACCTGGAGCAGGCCGCCCTTCTCATCCAGGCTCTTGGCAACCATGAAGATGTGATCCAGGTCTATGACAACATTGAGTAACCAGGCTCTCTGTGCCCCTGGGGTCCTTCCTAGGCAACCTGCAGCTCATTCTGGAGCACAGGCTTCTGCAGCAACTCTGAGATTGAAGCAGATTGGAGGCCTAGCAGGTTAGGAGGCATAAAATAAAGACCTGGAGCTTTGTGGCCAAGGGAGTCACTGCATCTCCATGGGGCCTCTTTGTCAGCTCTGCTGGTGTCTTGCAGCCCTGTTGGATGCGAAGTGGAGCCAACCAGCTAATCAGATTCTGATCTTAGGAAGTTGGCCCTTGTGGGAATGGCAGGTGCCCTGAAGGCCCTTGTACTAGAAACTGTTCTTATATAATATAACTGATCTGGGTTGCTGAACTCATAGTGTATAGCTCTTGCATTTTCCTGGGTTTTTGTCCAGCTATTGAGACCCTCTTGACTTCCTTTGAAGTCTATAGGTTTAGTTCCACTACTCCAGTCCCAGGACTTTTTTTTTTTTTTTTTTTTTAATTGACCAGAGAAATGTAGATCTCTACAGGCACCACTCTGTGCTGGTCTGGTGGCCCAAATCTGTCATTTGTCATGCAAATAGTATTTGTCAAACACCTATATACCAGGAACTGTATTTAACAGGAGCACAAACTGTTCAGTTGGTACTCTGTGTTAGATCCTGCTCTAAGACATAGGACCTCTGAGGTCAGACACAGGACTGCTGTCTGCTGGAGCTATCCTAGGGCAGCAGGAGCTATACATGCATCCTTGTTATTTTCGTGTGGTCTCTGTGCCCTCCTTCTGCCAAAGAGCTTAAGGCTCTAACTCAGTAGGAAATCCAGTGCCAATGGTAAGGGACTCCCAGGCCCTGCTTCATCCAGACCCCCTTGTGTTCTGAGATTGATCAGAGCAGACCTTTCAGCATATTGGACTACTCTCAGGAGAGGCGATGACAAGCTGGTTCTCAAAGCTACTTGGTTACCAGAATGCCACTTGAGCTCCTTTTCATCCCTGCTGGCAAATGATGGGGCACTGGCAACTGGAGAGGAAATGAGAATAGAAGGAAGGGTGAAGGACTGACTCAGATCCTGGCAAGCTGGGAAATAGGGCGCTTCATACCTTTTCCCCTTAAGTGTCACTTTTGAGTTTAGAAAGACCAGGAGTGCCAATCAGCTATGCAGGAGCCCATTAAATATGTCAGGCCTGGAATGGCTTTTTGATCCCTGTTATTTACCTACTCATAAGTTGTTTAAACCATTTCTGAGATCAGAATAATTTTCCTGAAGGAGCTTCAGGTAAATGAGGAAAAGAACAAAATCCAAATTGGCTGGCTATAAATAATAACTTCAGCTTCTAGGAAAAACCGGTTACTAATTCCATGATGACTTTAACAGTTGGAGAGCAAAGGCTAAGGAAAGAAAAAAAACAATGAAATAATCCATGAAAATGCCAAAGCATATCCTCTTACACCTCATTTCATAATCATGATACTACCTGGCATTCTTTAGTTTGTTTTGTTTTTTAAAATTTATTGTGTGTGTGTGTGTGTGTGTGTGTGTGTGTGTGTGTGTGTGAGGGAGGGAGGGAGAGGGAGAATCCCAGGCAGGCTCCATACTCAGTACACAGCCTGATAACCGGGCTTAGTCTCAACCTGGAGAACATGACCTGAGCCAAAATCAAGAGCCAGACACTTTAACTGAGCCACTCAGGTGCCTCACATTCTTTAGTTTTTATAGGAGATAACTCGTCAAAATATCTGATGAGCACATTCTTAAAATAGTGCAATTTAAAGTTTAAGTGCTGCTTTGTAATTTATAGAATACTTTCTTATGTTATTTGATTTTCACAGCACAACTAAAATAATCAGGCCAATTATTTTATGCACAAATGGTCACATAGCAAGCAGGTGAGAATAGGCCTAATACTACATCTTACATTGATCTTGGTTTATAAAAATAGCTGTTTTGTAAATGTTGATTATAATTATGATATAATTAGGAAGAATCTCCTAATTTCTGGTCTGAGAAATCTGCACCAGGAGAGCCTACTGTGGAAGGGAACTTGGCTACTCATGTACTCGTGAATAGTCCTCTAATAGATAGGATTTAAGGATTTTTGTAACTAGTTTTCTTACAGCAGGGCTTTGGATGGCTCTGCACTGACCCCTGGTGGTGCCCTGCAGTCTTTCCTGCAGCTAGCATGGCAAAGGCAGAAATGAAACCTTATTTGGACCTGTACTGCCTCTAACTCTGCTAACGAGACCCTTAGCTACATAGGTTAAATAACTATTTAACTGAATAGTTACGCAGAGAGAATATGAGTTATTCTGCCACTAAAAATTATTTTCTAAAAAATATTTTATGTCAGAAAATGTTTACAGTGTAATGTTAAATGGAAAACAAAGATGTAAAACTCTGTATAGTATGATTCAAATTTTAAAATATAGTCATACTTTATGAACTTAAAAAGACTAGAAGGAAGTGTATCAGAATCTCAAAACTGGTTATCTCTGGGTGGTGATGTTGTCACTTTTCTACAATCATATATTTAATCAGGGGAAACATTTTTAAAAAAGAAAACAAGTCACATTATTGTCCAGCTAGGGAGACAGCATGTGAGAGGCCAGGAGTCAGGCATAGCTTAAAGTCAAAAGAATGAGATCTGGTCTTGGCTTGCCTTTGCCTTATCTTTGGTCATTGTCTTAGCAGACAGAATCATTCAATGCCTTGCAGCTGGCTTCGGCTCACTTTCAAGTGACCTTTCCATGGGATGGAAGTATTTGTGATAGGTTCCATCCATAGCCTTGACTCTTAAAGGAAGCGTTCACGTGGTACCTAGCTGCCTTCCTTCTGCCAGAGGCCTCAGCCAACAGTGGAAATTCAGCCATAGGCTGAGTTACTCTTTTGGGGTTTTTTTCTGTTTTGTTTCTTTTGCTTTACTCTCTGATACTTAGAGCACAAGAGTCAATAAAACTTCACACTCGAAGAGACCCCAACTTGTAGACTTTTATTTGAGTTGCTGGGGACACCTCTGGAACCCTTCTGAAGAGGAAATAAATGACCCAGTAGGTCTGGCCAGGGCAAGTGTTAGGATAGATACCACACTAGTTTTGACCCAAACCGCTTTCTTCCTTATGCCCTCCCCAGACACTGAGGAGGATAGTAGTTTTTACTTTTCCTCTTGTCTTTCTTTTGTCCGTGTGAAAGAGGTAACAACTGTGGTTTTTGAATGAGTAAGTGAACCTCAACTGGAGGGATTCCCTTCCTCCTAAGATATAACCACCATTAACAATCTACTCTGTATTCTATTCATTGGAACCAATCTACTGGGGAACAGATTTCAACTCTTAATTGCCAGAAACCTTGGACAAGAACTTAACCTCCTTGCACCTCTTTGTCTATAAAATTAGGATAATAGTACCTATCTCATAGGGCTGTTTTGAGAATTAAGTACGTTAACCTATGTTAATCTCTTAAAAGAGTGCCTGGCAATAGTAAGTGCTCAATAAATGTTGGCCTTTTTCCCTCCACTAAGTTTGAACATTTTTTAAAAACTGAAATGTGATCACCCTGTACGTTTCTGCTTTATGAGTTTTGGTTTTTTTCACTTCACAATGTATCCTGGATGCTGCAATGAACATTACTTATCTTTGCTCACTTGCAAAGTGTTCCTTAGGATAAATTTAAAGAAGTAGAATTTATAAATGAAAAGCAATTTTTTTCTCAATTAGTTAATGTCAGTAATATATAAAATATCATGGTTGTAAAAATCTTCAGTGGTATACATATCATTCATTAACAATGCAGATAAAATAACTGGTTGAACTGGTGATTGAATATATTCTTTACCTCTGAATTAAAGCAATTGTCATCAGGGGTGCTTGGGTGGCTCAATTAGTTAAGTGTTTGCGTTCAGCTATGGTCATGATCTCAGGGTCCTGGGATCAAATCCCACTTTGGGCTCCCTGAGTCTGCTTCTCCCTCTCCCTCTGTTCCTCCCCCTCCCGCCCCCCACCTCTGCCTGCCATGCTCTCTTTCTCGTTGTCTCTCTTCTCTCAAGTAAATAAATAAAATCTTTTTTTTTTTTAAGAATTTTTTTTTGGCAGCCCAGGTGGCTCAGTGGTTTAGCGCTGCCTTCAGCCCAGGGCATGATCCTGGAGACCTGGGATCAAGTCCCATGTCGGGTTCCCTGCATGGAGCCTGCTTCTCCCTCTGTCTGTGTCTCTGCCTCTCTCTCTGTCTCTCATGAATAAATAAATAAAATCTTAAAAAAAAGATTAAAAAAAATTTTAATCAAGTCAGATGATAACTTTTTTTTTTTTTTTTTTTTTTAAAGAGAACATATACATAAGCAGGGCTAGGGGGGCAGAGGGAGAAAGGGAATCTTAAACAGGCTTCACACCCAGCCTGGATCCTGACACAGGAATCAATCTCAATCCTGACATCATGACCTAAGCCGAAAAGAGTCTAACCCTTGGGGTGCCTGGGTGGCTCAGCGGTTGGGCATCTGCCTTTGGCTCAGGTTGTGATCCTGGGGTCCTGAGCCTACTCCTCCCTCTGCCTATGTCTCTGTCTCTGCGTCCCTCTCATGAATAAATAAAATCTTAAAGAGAGAGAGAGAGAGAGAGAGAGAGAAAAGAATCTGACCCGTAACTGACTGAGTCACCCAGGTACCCCTTGTTTTTCCTTTTTTATACCAAATTCATTGAGCTATTCCTGAAAATTCATTCATGTTTATTGTTCCCTATCTAGTGTCCAAGTGTTCTTTTTTTTAATTTTTTTTTAAATTTTTATTTATTTATGATAGTCACAGAGAGAGAGAAAGAGAGGCAGAGACACAGGCAGAGGGAGAAGCAGGCTCCATGCACCGGGAGCCCGATGTGGGACTCGATCCCGGGTCTCCAGGATCGCGCCCTGGGCCAAAGGCAGGCGCTAAACCGCTGTGCCACCCAGGGTTCCCTATGTCCAAGTGTTCTTATGCCCTGGAAAGAAAAAAAGAAAGTATTCAGCTGGTATATCATAGGATGCTTGAGGCCCTAAGCATTAGGGGCAGGTTGTATCCTTGGGGTCAGGTATGGCTTTAGTATTTAACCAGGGGCATCTACTCTATAAAACCAGGGGAACAGACTTGAGAAGGCATGGCCCAGATGGGAGGCTTCACATAGGGAAAATGAAGGGTGAAGAGAGAAACAGTATAGAAAGAGAAAAAATACACAACTACAAGGGCACACTTGTGGAGATCACATTCAACTACTAACATCCCCAGTTCGGGTTCACTTACTTATTCAAAAAAATACTTCTTTTTTGAATGTACTGTGAAAGATGCTAGGCATACCAATTTCAATGACAGCTTCTGTCTCTATGCTTACTTCCTTAAAGGCAATAACGACAGTGGGACAGGTGATTTGATGAAGAAAGTACTAGGTGCCCTGATACCCAGAATTGTATTTGTCTGGAAGGGCTTCCTGGAGGGAGTGATGTTCAGGCTTAGTTCTTTCCTGAAAGAATGAGAGGAGTGGGGAAGAGTGGAGGAGAAGAGTGTTTAAAACAAAATAGCAGATGCAGAGATAGAGAGGTAAGATGGACTCTAGTAGTTCCCTTTGGCCAGAACATAGATCTGAATGATGGGGTTGGCAGAGATGGGAAGTGGAAAAACTTGTGGCTGGAGAGGTATAGCCTGGGTCCTGAAAGGCCTTCTTAACTACATCCATGTTTTCCACTTATCCTAAGGGCAATAGGAAACTATAAAGGTTTTAAGCAGAGCATGACAGAATCAGGTGTGCGTTTTTTTTTTTTTAAAGATTTTATTTATTTATTCATGAGAGATACAGAGAGAAACAGAGGCAGAGACACAAGCCGAGGGAGAAGCAGGCTCCATGCAGGGAGACCGATGTGGGACTCACTCGATCCTGGATCCCCAGGATCATAGCCCTGAGCCGAAGGTGGCGCTAAACCACTGAGCCACCTGGGCTGCCCTCAGTTGTGCGTTTTAGAAAGATGACCCTATGATGTAAGCAGACACTGTTACATGGGGTTTGAAGTAGGATGGTGGACCTGAGGATGGGAGAGAAATGGACAGATTGGTGACATGGTTAAGATTAGCCATGGGCACAGGGGAAATGGAGAGGAAGTTCTCTAAGGGAGAGAATTCACAGGCCCAAGTTGGGAAAGTGTTGATGGCAGAGGAAATACAGAACTATGGAAGAAAATGATGAATTCATTTGGGACTTGTAGAATTTGAGGTGCCTATTGGAGGCTAGAGGATAATATCTTGGGAGCTCAGAAGAAAGTCTAGTGTGGTAACTTCAGCATGCGAATGTTTGAGATGGCCAGTTAAGGGACAGACAATGGAAATGAAGCCCTCAAAGAAAGCAGTTGCTAGAAGGAGGGAAAATCAGAAGGCTGTTTTTTGATTAAAGACTTACATGGTTGTACTGTAGTTCTTTACTATGTGCAAGCATTCTAAGTGCTGGTGATAGGATAAGGCAGTGAACAGGACAAAATCCCTGCTGCTGCATAGCTTATGTTCATTATAGAGGAAAGACACAGCTACAATTTTAGTCACTATGAAGAAAAATAAGGCTGAATATGGGGCTAAAGAATGATGGAGAGAGAGGCTATTTTGGATGGGGTGCTTAGAAACTCGGAAGAGTTGACATTTGAGCAAAGACTCGAATAAAATGCAGGAATTGGCCATGGGGACATCTTCAGGAAGAGCATTCTAGGTAGAACAAATGGCAAGTGCAAAGGTCCTGGACTTGGTAGGTTCAAAATATGTTAAGAAGGCAGTGTGGCCAGAAGAGTAATTGTGGGAGAGAGGTAGAAAGGAGGTGCAGATGGCAGGGCCAGCTCCTATTGAGCCTGAAAAACCATGACAAAGAGTTTGGGTTTTATTCTTAGTGTAATGGGTAGCCATTAGAGGGTTAACAGAAGGGTGATAGCATGATCTGAATTACATTTTATAAGGATCACTCTGGCTGCTGTGTAGAGAATCATTTTTCAGGTGGCCACAGAGGAGACTGGGTTAGGAGACAAGGGCAGTCATCCAGGAGAGGGTGGCAACTTGGACCAGGATGGTAGTGGTGAGGGGCAGCCCCAGTGGCGCAGCGGTTTAGCGCCGCCTGCAGCCCAGGACGTGATCCTGGAGACCCGGGATCGAGTCCCACATCAGGCTCCCTGCATGGTGCCTGCTTCTCCCTCTGCCTGTGTCTCTGCCTCTCTCTCTCTAGCTGTGTCTCTATGAATAGATAAATAAAATCTTAAAAACAAAACAAAACAGGGATCCCTGGGTGGCGCAGCGGTTTGGCGCCTGCCTTTGGCCCGGGGCGCGATCCTGGAGACCCGGGATCGAATCCCACGTCAGGCTCCCGGTGCATGGAGCCTGCTTCTCCCTCTGCCTGTGTCTCTGCCTCTCTCTCTCTCTCTCTGTATGACTATCGTAAATAAATAAAAAAATTAAAAAAACAAAAAACAAAACAAAAAAAACAATTAAAAAGGATGGTAGTGGTGAGAAGTGTTAGATTAAGATACGTTTTGAAACCAGAGGTGGAAAAAAAAAAAAAAGAAGGAAAAGAAACCAGAGGTGAGAAGACTTAGATATAGGGATGTTAGGGAAAGAGCAAAACCAAGGAAGATTCCTCCTAGGTTTGTATTTCAACAATTGGGAAAATAGAAGAGCAGGGTATTTTAGGGGGAGCAGGAAAGTATAAGGAGTTCAGTGTGAAACTTGTGAAATTGGATCTGTGTTTTAGACATTCCAAGAGAAGCTGCTGAATAAACCATATAGGCAATGGAGTAAGTACTAGATTTCCACTTATTGTCTTTTTGTTTTTATTTATTTTTAATTTTTTTTAAAATTTTTATTTATTTATGATAGTCACACAGAGAGAGAGAGAGGCAGAGACACAGGCAGAGAGAGAAGCAGGCTCCATGCACCAGGAGCCCGACGTGGGATTTGATCACTGGTCTCCAGGATCGTGCCCTGGGCCAAAGGCAGGCACCAAACCGCTGCGCCACCCAGGGATCCCTATTTATTTTAAAATTTTTTAAAAATATTTTGTTTATTCATGAGAGACACAGAGAGAGAGGCAGAGACCTAGGCAGGGGGAGAAGCAGGCTCCCCCCATGTGGGACTTGATCCCAGGACTCTGGGATCACGCCCTGAGCTGAAAGCAGACGTTCAACCTCTGAGCCACCCAAGTGTCCCCACTTGTTGTCTTTTTAAAATATTTATCTAACAGGTCAGATATGAGCCCCAGATTGGGAGATGAGGACCTCTAGCACTGGCTTACTACACACATTCTCGCCAGGGTGATACCCCAGTGGGGTGAAAAATGATTCCTAAGGGGTGAAAAAAAAACCTTAGATAATACAATGGTATATAGCCTTCAGAGCTCAACCCTATTTGATGAAATCTTATTCCTTAGTATTTAATTTCTCTCATTAGAATTCACATTTAATTAAGTAATTCAGAATTTTCTCCTGGGGGAGAAGAGGAGTGATAATGAAAAAGCAGTTGAGAAACACTGGCCTGGTACAAGAACGTGACCTTTGGGTTGCAGACCTGGTGTGAATCCTGGCTCTACCCCTTGGACTTGGTCCTTAACTTCTCTGAGCTTCATTTTTATCATTAAAATGCAAATAGTATTAATTCAGAATTACTGGAAAGATTAAATGAGATGATGTGCCTGGCATTGTATAAATTACTGATAATTACTAATTTTCTTTCCCCTTTACTCTTTCTCTCCTTCCCAGAAGAGAGATTATTATAGTTAGGAACTACAATAAACTGGGTAGGGATCTAGTCAAGTGGGAGAATGACACACTTAAAAGCTTGTTGGAGGAAAAAAACAACAACAAATAAACCTAACAGGACAAGGGCTCTGATTAAATAAGGGGGAGGGGGAAGAAAGGAGTGTAGAGAAAGAGGGGTGGGAGTTCAAGGTAATTCATGAGAGATTTGACAGCCAGGGTAAAGCCACCGCTAAAGGTTCTTAGTTGATGGTTGAAAATGGCATCAGAGGAAGATTATTTTGGCGTCTGATTTATATTACACTGGCATAGGGACTAGAGGAAGGGAGCCCATATTAATTGTGATGGACTTGGCATCGGAAGACCTGGGTGTATAAAATGAACAATGGGGGTTGGGGAAATTAATTATGGTCATTCTCTATTTTGAAATATGCAGCCAGTACGATTGTTTTGGAACAATATTTCGGTAGCA